TTTGTCACTGCCCTCAAATCAATATATCACTCTCCACTGCCTATCACCCAGAGACAGATGGTCAGACAGAAAGCGCCAACTCATTTATGGAACAGTACCTAAGACACTATATCGACTATACTCAGGAAGATATTTACAAATGGCTACCCATGGCCGAGTTTGCTGCCAATAATGCTGTCACGAAACAGGTCGTGATTTAGTCAATCAAACGAGGGAAAGTAGTCTATTCAGATTCTCTATGAAGAATGAAAGGTAAATATAGAGGGAAAACACGTTCTACATATATGCCAAGTGCGCGCTAATATGCGAGGGATTGACATTAGTTGTGGACCCGTAACAAATGCTGTCAATGCTTCAACCAAAATTACCCCGATCTTTGCAAACAAAGGGTTTCATCCGCGCATGAGTTTTGGCCCCCCAAGACCACCAGATAGAACGTCTTCAAAGAGCCTCCGCCAGCAGACCAGTGCCGGGAATGACTTTGCAACGAATATGGCAGATATCCTCGAAGTACTACGCTTAAATCTTATGTGTTCTAGAGAAAAGCAGCAAATCGCTCACCAGCACCTGCATACCATGTTAGTGATGAAGTTTTCCTTGACGCTCGCAATATCATAACCACACGGCCAATTAAGAAACTAGACTGCAAATTTATCGGCCCATTGTCAGGGGTCGGAGGACAGGAGACTTATAAGGAGAGGGATTGGGGCGGAGATTGAGACGAGGACGAGATGTAGACGAGGACAGAGACTAGGACAGAGACGAAGACTAGGACTTAGGACAGAGGCGAGATTCTAAGATGTAGATAAAATACAAGACAAAGAGCTACAGTACAAATACATCCCAAGAGCTTCCTTAAGTACCTGAGACCGGTCACTACAATCAAGGGTGCAATAGCCCACAGCTGTTACATAGCAACTGATCAGTATCTTGACTAGTGACTGTTGCTATCACAACACTGTAACCATCGCAACGCACTAACCCTATTCCTGAGTGTATTCATGGGGCGGTTGGCCAGGTGCAATACAATATCACAAACTGGTCTGTGACACCCATTTCGAGTGACAAAAATAATAAATTCTCATGCCTATTGTTATGACACGCAGAATATGGCAAGCAAGAACTCAAGGTTTAAAAGGTAATAAAGCTAAAGAGCAAAGCTATGTCTACAAATTACATAAATCCAAGTGTATGAGATTAAGCGAATAGTAATTAATAAGTCGTCAGTGCTTCCATAACGTCAGACCACCGTAGGTATCCTAATCCAACTCCTTGTCTGTACACCTTATCCCTAGCCACTTAACACCTATCAGTTACAGCTCCCTTACAAATATGATAGATTACACAATGTTTTCCACAATGGTTTGCTGAGGCCAGCCCGTACTAACCCTTTACCAGGCCAAACTAATCCACCATCCCAGCCTGTCACACTCGACGAATCAGGTGAAAAGCTGAATGCTATCGAGGCCATAATTGACTCCAAACGTAGTAAAAGTAAGAAAAATTTCCCATATCAAATTCTGTGTAGAGGCCATGACTCTGAAGATAAGACTTGGGAACCTCTCAAAAATGTCGTATTCGCCAAGACATCCATTCAAGAATTTGAGAGACGCTTCCCTCAAAAATTACAGCCCACCAAAGCGGAAATCGATAGAGCAAGGCTACAAGCAATTAAATCTGTAAAGAAGGTGTCTATGCAGAGCTAAAAATCTCTTTTTTAGCGCACGCAAAATAGAGGGAAGCGTGTTAGAGTATAGAGAAGACTTCGGAGTAAGAATTGCCTGAGAACGGAGAAGAAGTTCAGTTTGCTTAATTTACTAATAGACTACAGGTATTATGATATATACAGTGGAATTATAAGAAATAGAGGTTACCCGGAACCGACTCGACTGCATAAATAAGTGGGACCCCGTACCAGAAAATAATTATCCACTGACTGAGAATACTGGGTCACGCAATAGAAGTACGAACAAACCAATGACTGGATTTGTTCGGGAAGAATGGGATTCAAGCAGACTCTAACGTTGAGTCCGATTGGATCAGAAATGTGGGATCCTGCCCGAACTCAGAAATATAGTTCAGGCAAGATGCATGCAACCACATTGGTCGATAGAAAGAAAAGCAGGAAACTGTATTTCCAACAAAGCAGGAGTAAGGAGAGACCAAATGTCAAGGAAACAAGGCGTTAGGCAAAGCAGTCACATGATATATGGACATGTCTAAATGCACGCTAACGCGTCCGTAAAGAATTATTAGTTTCATAGTACTAAATTCTTTCCTCTTTGTAGACAATCTAATTCACCAGATCAGACATCGTCGGTCACCGTCCACCTCACTCCCTACCGTGACAGTCGCGGCATAGCCTTGGCAGTAGGGACTGCTTTTTGTCGCAGCCCGTGTCTGGCTACCGTGGCCTAGGTGCTTTTGACGGGCAGAGCTGGGACGGTAGGTATTGTTTGTCTCCTGGCGTCGGGAGCCCTTGGGAGAGGGTTCGTCGGGCGAGGAGGGAGAACGGGTGGCGTAGTGGCCGGACCCGTGGCCATGTATTGCGCAATGGCGGCGCGTAGGTAGACTCTCATCGAGTCTACGAATTGTCTTTTTGACCCGTTGGTCAAAGGGAGGAGGGTGGCTTCGACGCCAAAGATGGCGGCGGAGCAGAGGGCCAGGTTTGTCGCTGTTTCGGCGGCGCGTCGTTGTTCAGCTTCGACAATTGGTCGGAGCTCGAGGGGACACTCTGCTTTCGTGGCAGCTTTTGGCTGTGACGTTGATTTTGACGCTGCTATGGGTGCAGAGTTTTCCGACGGTTTTGAGATGGTCGGAGGAGGTTTGGACGATTCTCCAATCCCGTGGGAGACGGAGGGTGGTTGAGGGATTTTCTCAACAATTTCATCTGACCAGACCATGTCAGTATCGGGCTCAGTGACGGCGCGGAGGGCTTTTTCCTTCCCTTTGATTGAGACCTTGCTCATCTCCGCGCATTTCGGAGACTGGGCAAGGCCAGCTACTTGTTCGAGAGCCCTCGGGTGGACTCTCGTGTTGTCCAACTTGGCGTTGGGACGCTTTTTTCGAACAGGTGGCATGGTGAAAATGACAGTGACTCGATCACAATGATTTGATAGAATGCGACGGGCGTGAGATGGCGTGAGAGGGGGAAAAAGTGAAGATTCGAAAATTCGAATTTCTCGGATTGATGAATGTTTTGGTTGTTGAGTTTTCTTTTATTTCTATGTTGGGATACACTTTGTCGATCCTACTAGGCTCAATAATTAGTAGTCCCGACTGACTGGTGTATGGCGAATGGAGATTGCGTATACCCTGTGCTAGCGTTTTTTTTATCATTTAATGTGTATTCAGCTATAAAGCTATGGCACATGGCCGGTGCTATTTGTACATGTTGGATGCCTCTTTTGATATTAGAGACACTCATACTCTGTATTTCATTCGCAAATACCACTATGAGGTATGCTTGCTTACACAAACAGTCAACCCTCCTCCGTAAGTACCCACCAAAGGGAATTTCGAAACCTTTAGTTATCCAAGCATGCCTTCGTGATCCATGTATACCAGCGCCGCGAGAAATGTGGTTGCGTTTTGCCGGATTTGAACCAGCGATCTACCGTCTCAAGTGGGATCTGTGTCCAAGCTATCCAGACTCTACTTGGCGGACCGGCCAAGACGATGTACCACCGCACCATCCAACCATGGCGGTGTTTATAGTGTTGACTGCACTTTCATAACCGAAGACTTGGCACGCACAAAGCTCAATTTGTAAAAACTCCCTGCCAATATTCAAAATTCCACGCCCGCTGAGACTGTATCTATCCTTTTTCTCATCTTGTTAGCTTGTCCTGAATCCTCTCACGCCAATCCCAAAGAATAGTCTCCCAGATTTGTGCGTCACGCTTTGTGTCCTCCGTCGGGTATAAATATCGGCGTGGGCGTGTATCTGGCGACCAGCTAAGGCCAGAGAAAGTCGACAAGAGGTGTGGTAATTGGAATGAGGATGTATTAGGTCGTACTTGTAGACTTGATGAGGCTTATGTAGGATTCAATCTCTTTTCCAATGAAAAATTGACGTGGTAGAGTAGTTTGAATCATTGCCTCGTGGGCCAACTTGTTCGGTATTGCGAAATTTGACTGAAATTGGCTCTGGGAGAATATTTCACACTCAGGTTCGTAGAGAGCACCACTGACAGGTGTTCAGTCTTGCCCTCCCTGTGCTAGCGTTGTTTACTGCTGTTAATAGGAGATCCCGCACGGGCTATCTATTGGGATTAAAAGGAGTCTGGTACCTGTGTTTAGTAGAGTAGTCGAATTGACATCCTTTTATCTTTCATTATTGCATAAGCTTCCCTCTACTAATATGTCCACGAACTAAGTAGAGGGTTATACATTTCAAGAACCAGAGCCTTTTCCCATCTCATAAGACAACTCAACGTTACGTAAGACAAATTTGAACTCAACTCATTATTTCAACAACACATATTCTACACGCTTGGATTATCGTTGGACCCAGGGTAATATAAATTCAGATATATTCACAGAAAGAATTATATCCTCTACTCGTATTTTGTTCAAACGGGAATAGCAATTATTTATACATGTGACTTGACGCAAATGAATTTATCTGTTCAAATTTTCTGTCTCATTTAGCCTTGCACAAGTTTGAGAAATGCCTGTTTTGGCTTTAATCTAAATTAAAAGAGGTGAAGAAACTAGCTAGTGCTGATGCATTACAATGCGGATTTTCTTGGTCTATTAATCAAGGCTATAATCCTAGCTTTATGTCTACGGTCTGGACCTCGGTGAATCATATATGGAACAAAAGTAGTGATTTCACATTCACATCTTACAGCAGTATTCTACAAAGATTAGCCCGAAGGACCGAGGCATAATGCAGGTGTTTTCAACTCAGGAATTAAATGGGCACTTCTTCCGATATTGGAATCTTAAACTCAAATTTTGGAGTAGCCATCTTCTTCGTCTTTTTCCATCCTTGTTTAATTTTCGAATTTAATGCCTTTCTTCCCATCAATGTCAATGTGACCACCCCGGTAGCTTCCACGTTTTTTTTTGTTTTTTTCCTTAGTGAAGCCCTTTCCTTTGGTGACAACAAGGTCTTCGTGAGCCTTTTGAGCATAGTCGTATGGCACGTAGGCATTGCTTGCCAGTCTATCATCGACTTTCGTATCTTTGGGAATCCTTGAGAAGGTTTGATTGACTCTTTTGCCCTTTAACACGGGGTCAGGAGGAAGTGGAGCCGCAGGAATAATTTTGGTTGTATTTTTCTCCTTTTTACTTTGATCCTTGGATACTAGATTTGAATTCGCATCCGAAAGAATATCTTTTTGTTTGGAGGTTGAAGTGGTAGAACTTTTGAGGAATTTTTCTTGTGTTGAACTTGTAGTATCAGACGAGTCAGAAGAATTAGAAGAATCTGAGTCCGAGTCTGGTAATGGTGTTTTTTTGGCAATTGAGTGGGTAGAGCGATTAGCTCTTCGGGGTTTCGATTTTTGCTTTAATTTCTTCTTCACTTGATTTTCATTTGAGCTAGAGTCTGAGCTAGAATCTGAGCTGGAATCTGAGCTGGAGTCTGAGCTAGAATCTGAGCTGGAATCTGAGCTAGAATCTGAGCTGGAGTCTGAGCTGGAGTCTGAGCTGGAATCTGAGCTCATATTTGATGATGACTTAGAGTGTTTAGCAACATCATTTGACTTTGTCTTCTTCGGCAATCGCTCTTCTGGGTTAGGCCCTGCTGCTGTAGAGGAATCGATACAAGATAGTTTGCGCTTCAAGCCGTTGGTTTTGGAAGTCAGTGGTTCTGTTTTATGAGATGAGGAATTTTTTCCATCAATTTTGTCAATTTCCGGGTTCTTTGGGGTTGATCCCTTTTTTGATTTTTTTTTTTCTGTTGGTAATTTATTTTTGATTTTATTACTGCAATCACCGCTACTCCAAAAGTTAGAGTGTGTTTAATTAGAGCTTTCATGATATATGTCTTATTGTTTACCTTGGGTAATTTACAGCTCTCTCACTTTCTAGGTTGCTCTTCTGCCCTGTAGACGAACTGAGGTTCTTAAAATTATGCCACTCATCAACCAAAACAGAGAGCGATGGTATTTCGGGTGACGATGTCCCCTCTTCACAGAATTTTAACTTTTCTTCTTTGAAGATTTTACTAGAAGCAACAAATCCATTCTCTGCTAGAAATCTTTCAACCAGATGAACAAGATGAGAAGATAGGGTGGGTTTGGAGCCTTTTCCAGCGGCATGTCGCATGAGAAGATTTTCGGCAATTTTTTTAGCCTCTAAGTCTTTAGTCGTGGTTTCTGCACTAGGATTTTTGTTCAAGCTCGGGTCTGCTTGACCGCAGAAAAGCCATTCAGGTGCCTTGACAGGTTTTGAAACTTTTCTTTTGCCCAATTTTTGAAAATTTGGATTGTCAGTCATTTTGGGATGGAATGTGTGGTGGCCCGGATGTTTGCACGAGAAATATCTTTGGTCAGAAATAATGCCGGGCGGTGAGTCCATGTATTGATCTGGTACGGTAAACAGCCCTTAAAACAACCGCACCAAGCTACTAACGCTACGATGACTATATGATGAGTATGCTGCTGAAACACCAGGTCAAGGCAAATTTACAGAAACATCAACCTAATTTCCACTGTGTTTAAAGCAAAACATCGCTTCTGCATAAATCACTGGTGAAGAACACTCCAATATCATGGATATAGACTTCCCTCAAAGCCACTCTTCAATCAACCAATGATAAAGCTGAAAATTTCATAAACGAAGTGTTTGTTCAAGTCACAGCATTGCTAATCATAGCAAAATAGATACGAATTTCTGTATGTCGAAAAGTAGATAGCTACCGAATCTTTGCGATTCAGGTCATAAAGTTATGTAGTCTAACGATGTCATAGATGCCAAGCGCTTCAGCTTAACGAATAAAAGTTATTCGACCATATCCTCTATTTAATCTAGGATACCGAAACTCTTGGATAGATCTGGCTCGATGAGGTAATATCATATAAACATACATGATTTGCTGCTCAGATTCCAATTTTCCTAGACAATTTGGCGTCGATCAATGGATAATCCACCTCGAAACAGACCCAGTGGGGTTAGCAACATCAGTAAAGGGAATCTGAGTCGTGTTGAGCAATTTGAAAATGAGAAGACGCGAATAATTGAGAGCTGCTTTTCAAAAAGAGAGGAGGACGGGTCAAGTACACCCACCTCGAGCTGTACGCATTAATGAAGCAAAAGTGCTAACGGTTGCCATTGAAAAGTTTCTGAATCATATATTACTCATTTGAGAATAGAAGAGGATGCAGCATTTCCCTCATCCCCGGCCCCACCAAACGCTAACCCAGACTCGAAGAAATATCGCACAATCGTCGTCGCTGTACGAAAAACTGGACGGGTACGCGTGCACAAGGCGAGAGAAAACGCGAATGGAACCTTTTCAATCGGTAAAACGTGGATACTTGACGATTTAACGGCAGTACAGTCATACACTGGCTCAGCGCCCTCCGGTGGAGACTCAGAGCAACACAAGCTATGGGCAGGAAACACAGGATTCACTGTTACTTTAGGCAAACCTTATTATTGGAAGGCGAACTCTCAAAAAGAAAAACAATTTTTCATTGCGAGTTTAGTTAAAATTTATCATAAGTACACAGGAGGTAGTCTACCAGATATGATTGGCTTTGACCAAAAGGAAAGAGACCAGCTATCAGGGATCGCCACTCCCTCACGTCCCCCACCCATATCGACCCAAAGTTTCTCGCAAGGTCAGCTACAAACCCGGGATACACGGCAGAATCTATCACAGCGAAACGATAATAACGAAAATCCCGGGCAAGCCACACCAACATCACCAAATGGAAAGCTGCCGGTGAGCAAGAACCAGACAAGGTTACAACCCGGTCCCACGAGTAGTGGCTCAAATTCTAGTTACCAGTTATCAGGCTCTTCTCGTCTACCACCTTCATTCAAAAGATTACCCTCCAACCAAAGTCAGCGATCCTTCAATCAAAATGAGGAGGAGAACATCGAGTCTACATCGCGAGCCAATCAGGACGAGTCCTCAGACACCGCTGAAAAATCCCCTAACCCTCAATTAAGAGCCAACGCACAAGGTATTCCTACTTCGGATAGTACCCCATTTAGAGGAAGAAGTGCAGGCGAGGCTCAAGCTGATTCGCCGCAAATGCCTGCGCCTTTATCAATAAACTCAGAGGTACGTAGACCTTCAATATCAGCTATGAATAATTCACGTGAAAATTTACCAAATTCAAACGAAAATATTTCTGCTGCTACTCTTTCTAGCCCAACGCTCAGAAAAGAAGAAAAATACCATGTCTCAAGGAATGAGAAAACGCATTCAACTGGACCCAGCGCTTCAAATACCTCGTTAATTTTAACAGATAATGCTAGTACATCCTCACCGAAAAAAGGAGATGCTTTTAAGTCAAGCACGAATAAGGTCTCAAATCAATCGCAAAGCTCCTCGATAACGACCGAAATACCCTTGCAAGGAGAATACCGTTCTGGGATTAGCTCTAATATATTTAAATCTAAATCTAAATCTAAATCTGACGATTCCGGAATTTTTAGCGGTGCCGCAACCGCTATCAGTAACTTGAAGCCTCGAATCGGAGGGACTGCAGATCAGACCAAAGACTCAAAGCAAAAGCTCTCTGATACCATTGAAGGTTACACAGGTGCTGGACCTATATCAGGATTTCTTCGTCTACCTGGTTATGGTAATTTGCTCTCAAAATCACCGAAGGTTCCTGACCCAAAACCACGAGTTGACGAAGAAATTCCTGAGATAAGGCTCAATACTGCACCATCCAAACTAGTTAGTGAGGAATTACCACCGACTCCCAGTGACACAGACTCTCACGAAAATTCTCATTTCCTCGAAAACAAGAAATCCAAGGCGCCCACAGAAAAGATAGCCAAAGACCTAGCTACCATAGGTGTGGATCCTATTATTCTAGGTGGGCGTGGTGGTGACTTAATATGTGCATGGGAACAATTTGGTTGGTCTGGCGAAGGAATGCGAACGAAGAGTGTTGATCGCATGAAGGAAAAAGTTGAACGTGAGCTTTGTCGAATCCAGGCAGGAGGCTGGCTTAGTCGACTTGAGGAAGAAGACGAACGAATCGAAGCAATAAAAACTGGATTTAATAAAGTAATCAACGAATGTGATGAGCTTGATGGCCTCTTAACATTGTATTTAGTAGAACTCGGCGTAGGTCTTTGTAAACCCAAACCTGCACCTACTAATCTGCGCAGACCTTGAATGAAGATGTTGCATACATCGAAGCACAATCCCAGGGATTACAAGTTCACACTGCGAATCAGAAACTTCTTCAAACTGAAGTTCAATCTCTCCTACAAACTATCTCTATATCATCCAAGCAGCTCGAAAGCTTACGAGAGTCATCTCTAGAGTCTAATCGTGGTCTCAGCGATATAGAAACCTCCTTAGTAATTCTTTACAAAGCTATGTTAACTATTGATCCCTCTTTGGGTATATCTGGTCCCAAACGCAGTGAGGATGGTAGTGCGAATTCTGAAAAACCTGGTGTCTATGGAAATAATGAAATCGGTAGCATGCAGGTACTTCAAGAAAAGAAGGAAGTTTATAGGAATGAAATCGCAGTTTTCATGCGTCGACTCAAGCCATTTCTTGAGGTTAAATTTTCCGCTGCATTTGATCAAGTCCGCCACACATTAGAAAAAGAAAAATCTAATAGTCTCGCTAGATCACCTGGAAGGACAAAACTTGATACCACTAAACACGAACTAGCACGCAACTTACTTTGGAAGTACGCCCCACTAATGCTTTTTGCGCGTGAGGTAGATCGAAAAGAGTGGGAAAATCTGATCAAGATGTACGAAAGTGTCTCGAGACCAGTCTATCAAGAGGAGTTCCAAGTTGCTATTGTGGCGTCTAAATTTGCGGCCAGAAAATTTATTGGGGAGGAAACTGATGTAATATTCACATCTCAAGTTGAGAAACAAGCCGAAGGTCTTGCTTCAACTGCTCGCAAATTAACCGTGAAGAAAAGCCAAAATTTGGCAAAGAGCTTACGGCCTCCAATTGGTGACAACAACACGAAAACCTCATTCGATAAAAGTCTCGGCGTGGAGCCATACGAGGTCACTGAGGAAGCAATATCAAAGATGGTTTCTGTTATAAGTATGGAACAGAATTTCTTTGTCGATTTCTTTCACGTAACCTCACTTGAGCAGTATGACTTCCTAGATACTATCGCAGCTTCAGCTCCAGACGATAGACGCGGTATTGATATAAGAAGGCCTCGTGTAATGGATCCTAATCGAGACATGGCTATGCTTGTCGTTCAGTCGATGGAGGAAATTTATTCTTTTTTTCCAAAAGAAATAGCAGGTTTGGTAGATTGGAGTCTTCAGTCTGATCCATTGTAATTCTCTCAGCGACTGGGGTTTAATTTTGGCTAACAAAATTATAGACAAAGTGTAGGAATTATTGCGGCACTAGAACGGAAGATACCTGAATATGAGGAGACCAATCAAGAATATTTAAACCGAACACTCCAGAAGCTGCACACTCAATTAATTGGCACGTTCATCAAATTTCTTGATGATCAAATCCGTGTCATTGAAGAGACGAAAGTTAAAATCAAAAAGCGAAAAGGAGTGATCGGATTCATCCGGACTTTCCCGGCATTTTCCAATGCACTTGAACGAAAGTTAATTGCAGCTAATGGGCTTGAAATCAGAAGTACAATCAATAATGCGTATTCCCGTATCAACAAAGCCATGTTCGAAGCACTTAAAGTCATCGCTAGAGATAACCCAAGCGCACAGATTGCCGTATCAGACCCAGCTGATAAAGAAGCACTGAATTATGAGATTCTACTGATGCAGAATATGCACCATTATATTGAAGAAGTTGATACTCGCATGAATCAAGTTCTTGAGGAATGGAAACAGAATGCAATCAACGAAATGGATGAACACATGACCTTATACTTGGGTGCCGTAATTCGGCGACCACTTGGTAAGTTACTTACTTTTCTCGAAAGCGCGGAAAGTATGATGCTTTCTCGGCAACCAGGAGAACAAATATCGAAAATATCTGGTATGCCGAGTCATTCCGAGTCTACCTTTAAGAAGGTGCTCGCTGATTACGACTCTAAGGAGATAAAGCGTGGTATTGAATCTCTTAAGAAGCGAGTTGAAAAACATTTTGGAGAAGAGCATGATGCAGGAACCGCTAGTGGAAATAGTCTTGTTGTCAGGGTACTTCAGGGCTGTGAGAAATATTACGAAGACGTCGAAGGCCGGATACTGACAATTAGCCGAGATGTCTATAACGGAGCAATCGCGGCAGAGTGGACAAGAGCAGACGTATCAGCGGCTTTTAAGAAATAAATTTAATCATGGCTTGAACCTCACAGTTGTGGCGTAGTGTTTCACGAATACTCACTGTGGGATTTATGTATAACGCCGATTAGAGATACATACAAGTTCATGTAGATTTATTAATTAATTGACCTGTTACCCCCGTGTTTAAATATATTCTGGATTGTACATCACTGAGATGCGTTTAATACGTCCCAGTAGCAGTATTAGGAACAAGGCTTTGCACGGCGTGGCCCAGTTAATCTGCCCAGTTTTACCCTTATTTATTGTATTATTATTTGAAGCCCTAGAATCATAAGTCCATATTATAGGGTGGGCCATGGGTCCCTTCTTAATTACCTGGATTCAGTCGCGTAGTATGACCCGACTGACTGTCTCAAATAAATCTTAGCTCCAAACACCTTTGCATCGTGCAGCGGTGTCTGGTCATGTTTCGGAGACCTCGTCAGCGCATCTGCGCGCCAGCCTATCTCATAGTCACTGCATCTCAAGTCTGATTTTCTGTACACAGTTGGCGGTATGTCTGGCCAAAGTCACTAGCCACTTTTTGCCAGTTAAACAGCCCAGCTTATCATCATCCCGTGTAAATATGACCAGGAGGCTTAACCATATCTAAGTCACCTACCACTTGTGGCGCATCCTCCATCTTATGGTCTTCTGTATAATCCTTTGACCTTGAGGTGCCAATACTTTCACTTTCTAGATTGGGTTTTCCAAGACTAGAGCCTCGCGCCAAGTCGAGATGACGCCGTTTACGCACAGTCGGTATGTCGAATATGATAGCATCTTCGTCTGGGCTATGTGTGGCCTCCTGAACCACAACATCACTATCTCGTATTCCTTTTTCTTCGTTTTCTGTTGTGCCGACTTTCCTGTCATTATTCAGAGGGTTATGATTCAAAGATTTCTGTCCAGATTTAGGCGGCTGTCCACACCACGATTCTAGGTTGGAGTGAATATCTATTTTCTTAGAGGTCTGACGAAATTGTCTTGCTGGTTCCCTGGACACTTTTTGAATTTTTTTTGCAGTTTCGCTTGGTGAAAAAGGAGACAATTCTTTTAAACGTCGATAGGTTGGTTTTGTGGAGACGGACAATGAGGATCTTTGCCGAGAAATTGCTGGCCTAGATGTACGGGGAACTGTACGGGTTCGTGATCCAGGTAGTGGAGGGAAGACTTCAAATCGAGTTGCTGGTATAGTTGCAGCAGCATCAAAATATGAAAGATTGGAAGCCATGCTGCCACATGGTCTAAATTGTGGTGTCTCGGGCAATCGTAGATGTATGGAATCTTCCGAACATAATCTGTCGGCGGACTCATTGTTCTCATCTGAGTTTCCACGTGCACCTCCGTAAAAAGGAATATCTCCTTTTTTATCGTAAGGCGACTCGAGAATTTCTGTTTTACCATCGACTTGCGAGCTCATTTTGTTTATCGGTAAGCTTCGCTCGAAAGTAGCAAGATTTCCTCGACCCATAATATAAGGCGTCCAAAATAGCGCTTTGGGATTGAGTTTAACGTACTTCTTTGAATCATACTTTTGGACAACCTCACGATAGTATTCAGGCCTAATCTTCATAGCGTAGGTCCCAGTTATTGGATCTCGAATTAAAGCGCCCAAAGCATCTAGAGCAGAGATAACATCATCTGGGGTTAGACCTAGATCATTTGATATTTTTCTTATACTAGGTATTTTATCGCCAGGCTTGAAATCTTGAAGGTAGGTACAAAGCACAAGTCGCCAGTAGCTTCGATAAGAAACTAAACCCATGTCAGAAAGAGGTTTTTCCGGAGATCCCGTTTTCTTCTCAACTCTCGTTAATAAGTACGAAAAGTCAATAAGTAGATGTCCATAACCTTTTCGTTGATGAATTGGGAGAACCAGAATGCAAGACACATTATTGAAACTACTAGGACGCTTTTCTTTAGAAAAATAACCGACAAAATGGCATCCATACTCGTCATATTCGGTCATAACATAAAAAAGAAAAGGTTCTACGTCGTAATATAGCGTTTTAGAGCCAAGGAAAAGCTTAGCGAGGAGGCATAAATTCTGACAGTATAGCGGGTTTTTCCGACCATCAACTTCAAATACTGCTACCTGCCCATCACGGTAGATTTCGTCGCCTGGCGGATTTTTCCATGGACATTTCGTTGTATGGCGCCAAGCCACTATGTCTGATTCCATGTACTTTAAACAAAATTCACATATGAAAAGAGCCTTATTTCTACTATATTCCTCAGGATATGGAGCAGCATACCAGATATCAATTTGAAAATCTCCAAATTCAATATACTCAATCTGACTAGCTGGTCCAGAAATTTTGCGAGTTCTCTTAACCCCAGACAAGGCTGCAGACTCTGCTGCAGCTGTTACTCTAACTTTCCAATCTTTTTCGGCTCTCTGTCGGGCTTCGTCGAATAGTCGCCGATGCTCAGGCTTTGGAAAAGTAAACAGAGTGTCAGCTTGTTCTTCGGTAAGGATTCCTCCGTAAGGTTTCGTTTTCGATTCAGCAAAGTCTCTATCGTGAAATGAGTAGAACGGCTGTGAATGTGTTTCAGGTACTGGTGCAGGTGTTGGAATTTTGCTAAACTCATTTCTATGGTTAGTCTTTCTTTTGGGTTGAGGATTTTGTTGGATTCTCTGCTCAGTTTGTCCTGCATCAAGCTTGAAAGCAATTTTGAGAGAAGTCGCTGATTTTTCCAATATCTTTGCATAGGTTAGCGATGATGATGGCTTTACTCGGCTTGATCTTGTTGCTCTCTGCATCTTAAGCTTTCCTACTTCTTTTGCTTCATCGTTCAAAGAAACTTCCTCATTGGATCTCGTTGGTTCGCTCTCATTACGGCTACTAGCGGAGCTTTTTCCCTCTAAATCATGAGCTTTGACATAGGTTGGAATTAATTGTTTACCGTAATTACTTTTTTTCGACTCTTTACCACTATGAATAATGCTTCCAATATCGGAAGTTTTCTGATACGTTTCTTGAAAGAAATTACGGTTATGTATTGGGATCGACCGACCATTGGAAGACTTCAATTTAGTTTGGGTTGGCTCTCTTCGGGATGGTATATGTTCACTAGAATTCTTGTGTCTTGAGATCAACCTTTTCGCGGACGGGTGATGATTTGGCGAAGAGTTATTAGGAATAAGGTTATTAGATACGCAATCAGGGCAATACCATATATCAGTTACTAATAGATAGTTATTCGGGAAATATGTAGATTTTGAAGGCCTTACTTGCCATCCTCTGGTTTAGATGCATCAGCATTTCGCGCACACTGCCGATGAGCTAACACTTGCGTCAGCCTAATATACTATTTTGTCAGTTAACAAACCATTATCGCCGCAAACTTCGCAAGCCAAGTACAATTCAAATTCTTCACCGGGATCGTTGTCCTCGTCTTGGTAACAAAAACTAAGAACCGTCATAAAATTTCAGTGTGGTCATACTGTGAACTCACATGCAGCGATTTGGATTGACTAACTCTTCATCTTCTTCCGCTGTAGGTACCCATTGCTCTTCCATGTCGACATCCGTTGAATTGTTTGATTCATCCTCCAGGACGGTCTCGTCATCTTCATCTGAGACTGCGTTGGTACTTTCGCTATTTTGCTCTTCACATCCTGGCTCTATTTTTACAGCTCTAAGCTTTTCACTCTCTTCGTCTTGGCAATTCCGTTTCGCTGTACGATTAACAGGTAGTATTTTTGCTCTGCTGCTCCTTGCACCATCTTGATCCTCCGTATCGTTTTCAATGCTTAATTCAAGTTCATCATCGCAATGCTGGCTTTTATCCCAATGCATATCAGCTTCTTGCATTGGGATTATTATTTCATCGTCTTCTTCATACTCTGCATCATCCTCTGAGGTAGGCATGACTGATGAGACTCGCTCCCCTGTTTGGATCGCAGTCGCCATTCTCGATCCATTCACATGGACTTCATTGTTTTCAGCTTGGGAATTTAAGTCTTGCGTAGAATTTCATGAGAGGAAAGATTAGGGCTTTTCGAGAAAACCCTTAGCTTTTTGCGCCAGTGAGTTGTTAGAGGCTCCACACTTGTTAAGGATACCATGAAGCGATTATTTTTAATTGCTGATGGAACCCGAGGTTGACAAAGAATGAGGATATTTGTTGAGCTTTGGGTGTACTTATGGTGAAGTTTTCATCATCACAGAAATCTGTTAAGCTGTTCAATTGGTCCAAGCGTAACAGCAGGACTGAGGTAAACTTCTGCGACCACGTTCGGTTATTGGCGGATGGCTTAGCGTGTCATCGCGACAACAACCTGTTCATCCGTTAACGTCATCTCATTTACAACAGCTCAGCGGCAAATTAAAATCCAAAGGAGGTACGACTCCAGACATCAAAATTAATAGTTTTCAGCTCATCTAGCTCAACCCCAGGAAAGATGGGGGTTCCGTTTGAAGCTCTCTTGCCTTATGGAATTATAATTTGTGTACGTCTCAGTAGATAAATTGGATCTCTGGTCTATCGCAATATTCTAATGACATACTTATGTTCGTAGATGTTTGGGATTACTGGAGCGGGAATGTCAAAAATTAGGCATATGCAAAATGGTGGCAAGAGGGCAAGACACTCTATTGATCAATGGGATAGAGTGAGTGCTCCCTCTACTCTGTAGCCTCAAATATTTGATGATATAAGTTAATCATTTGTAGCAAAGTAACATTCAAGCCGCTCCGTACTGTCAACAAGATGCTGATAAATTTAGTGATGGATCGTGATAGAAGGTTGACTGGTTGGCTCAGAGGACAAACTGACAGTCCGACGGCGCCAAAAGGATATGAGCTGAACAATCCATGGAGAGTGAGCAAATATGTCATTCAAGAGTGTCGTCCAACTGACCAAATTCTAGTTAGAAAAGCGTATTACCTGAGATCACTAACACTTTTCAGTTCGAATAAGGAGGCTAGAATAAGACGTAGGAAGATCTGACTTGATACAGACGTAGGAGCAATAATGAAATGATATAGATTGAGTTGTCAGGATTTGCTACTGGGCGTTTATTGAGTGATATGAAGATCAACGTCGTTTCTCTGGGCATCCCAGACAACAAATTTTGGTTCGAAACAATTATCCGCTGCTAGTTCGCTATATCACCAAACTGAATATTTTGTCAGAAAATAGTAGCCTGTCAAAAATAAATGACTTAAGTAACGTATTTCCTAAGCTCATGTCGCCCATTTGAAGCGTCCTGGTTCACAGCATCAATCATTATTAGAAAACCAAAAAATTCAAATTTTTAGATTGAGGGTTGCGATCTCAATTTGAGGCATTCGTATTATCATTAACTGACATATGGTAGCTGTTTTATTCTCAAGATTTCTTTTGGTGTAATTAACCCTAGCCTTCCGTAGACATCGAAAAGCCTTCAAATGCCAGGATTTACTGTGAACCGCAGTTATTCGGAGCGCTAAAATAATGATACCCCCCATACATAGAACACGTGAGGTCTACGTATTTATACGGCCAAATTCACTACGTATCGAACACGAGTATTTTCGTTGGTTACAACGGCCACCATGAATCAGGGGCCGAACATTTCTTGACAGTAAGCGCCCGCTTTGGCTGCTTGAAGTCCATTTTCGCAGCGTCGACAATCTCGCTGGCGCCCTGTACCATCGAAAGTTGAAGTGGTGCCTTGTGCAGTGTTCTTGCCTACCTGTGTGCTCAGGAAAGCTAATGTAGTCATGGCTGAGAGCACCGGTCCAGTAGAGCAGATTCGGCGAGGTACGGCGCAGGTCTGCATTGTGGGACCACGCCCATCAGCCTAACAAATTATCCTCCATGCACGCAATCACGATGGTGGGGGTTCTTTTATGCATGCACGATAGTGTCCCAACTGCTAATTTTCGTAAGTAAACTCATTATAAGAATAAATTTCAATAACGAAAGACGTAATGATTGTCCCGATTTTGAAGTAATGTCTACCCTCTCCCATAATTACTAATCGGTCTCCTCACGGTAGCTTGGACAGATCTATGTCCCCGTGGTAAATGAGTTAGGATCCTGTGACTGAAATAGTCCAGTTGCAGCATTCTCCACAAAGTTTATCCTACAAGAGTGCCGGGTAGGTAAAAGTTAGCCATGGGTCAACGACGAAGTGGCACTCTGCATTTAGCCCCTATCCTTGTATATTCAACGGCGATAAGCGGCCCGAGCCGGATGAGGGCGGGAGTTCAATGTGTACTTTGGACGTAATTGATCTTAGAAAAAGACGTGTTACATTGTGTTATCACATTGACCACACACGATGCAAGCTTATCATAAAAATGTTATAAAATATTAAAACATATACACAGTTCTTAATGCTGTAACAAGCTATTTTAAGAAAATGTTTTTAATTAGCTATTTAGCGTATGCCGCTTAATTATTTGCACCAGATCCGTTACTTTCCAATTCTCTAAATATTACTATTTCAAGTATGTCAAATTTCTGACGTACGCGGATTGCTTCCGTCGCAATCTCGGGACAAATGTAACCTGATAATTTATCCGTGCAATTATCCAGAGTGATCGATTTCCTACTAATAAAACCCGCTTGCCACTTAAGCCATTTGCTTGAGGCCCGCTACCCAATTTTTGACCCAAGGCCATTTTCCCATCGCCTTCACACTAATCCACCAAGCCCAATCAGTTTCGCCGGCTTGCCATGGCAGCTCATCCAATTCTGTATTAGCTCTCAAACTATAAGGAAAGAAAAAAGAGAATTAATAGGACAAGTAGTAGTGCCGAGATGTACTGTGGGCCCATCACGGAGCGCCAAAAGGTCCCAGGTCAATTGATATAATTACCGTACCCCGATACATCTGCACCAGGAGCTGTAACGAGGATGATTTCATATAACTTATGAAGAATCTAGTAGCCCCCTTCTAGGGGTCCAGCCCCTTCTATAGCGGTAATACCTGGATGTCGACTTAGAAAACTCCCAGCTTCATTGGGAAAAGCCGAGGGTACGGAATATGCTTGATAAGCGTCCCTTCGATCTGGTGGGGAGAGAGATACATTTGCGTAGGCCACGCCTGTACTCATTCTAGCGTACATTGAAGGTGTGATATCGGCCATCGAAGGGATACTTGCTGGTGATGCTTGACCTCTGCTATTTATCCCCAAATTATCGTATGATGTATGATTAGAATCTATTCGTGGAAGATTAGATATAATCGAGCCAGCATAATTAGTTTGGTGATTTGGGAAATATGCGTTTGTAGGCGATCTCTGTGCTTGTAACTCATATGGCGAAGGAGGCTCTCCAGTGTCTAAGTGAGGCGCAAAATACTGATGGCGAGAGGCATTTGCATGAGAAAATACAGGAGATGGATCACACGTGTAGCTGAAGGCACCAGTTGGCTGTGATTGATTGCCATACGACAAGAAATTGGCTTGATTAGATTCGGTGTATGGCCTTGGCTGATAGGCCATCGGTTGATTTGGTTGAATGTAGGTAGGTATATGAGCCGTTTCGCTCGACGTACGTGGCCTCTTTGATGGTTCCTCATATGAGACGGGACATCCAAAAGAAGGTGGAGATTGTGAAGAGTATTGACGATCCATTTGTTGGCGTGTATCATATGCACCATCTACAGAATCTGGTTGACATTCTAAGCTTCGCACCATCTCTTGAGATTCACGATTGTTTTGCTTTGCTCTAACCTGGCTGGCATTCATTTTCCGGGGTCCATAGTGCTGGTTCTCGTAATCTTCATGAGCCATTCCCCTTTTTCTGATAAGAGTACGATTTTGTTCCTTGCGTACCCGAACCTTTATCCCCTGATCGCCGAAAGATCGAGTGAGAAATGTTGTTTCTGGGTTCCCAGGAAAATTTTTGGAGGAATAGATGGGGAATGGCTTTGAAATAATATCTTTTATGTACCACACGTGATCTTCGAAAATTTCAAAAAGGATGAATCTGAATCTGAAATGTCCTTCCAGCTTGACTGACAGATCGCCCCAGACAAAAAAGCCGCCATCTTGATTGTCGGTATCCTTGAGTCTATGTAAAGATGAAACTACCGTTCCAGTCAAACTAGCACCCAAGGTTCCTGGTGGCTGATTATGGTCATTCGGTCCAATCAGAGTGCATGACATAAATATGTAGGGACCTATTTTGTCAACAGAGAACTCTTTATTTCAGGTTGGGGTTCTTACTTTGAAGAAATGATTGTTTTGGATCAACATTCGGGCTAACTTTTAGTTGAATAATGGGGGGAGGGTCAACAGGCTTGCGCTCTGTAGCTTGTTAGTTGTTGTTTTTGGAAATGACGTCATACACGTACCTTTGTCTTTTCCCAGCGAGACCCGAGCACAATTTGGTTCTTGCCGAATAATTATCTCGCAATTCTCGCTGTAGCTGTATTGTTAGTCTTTACATATTCAATCCTAGGGACGAGACTATATACCTGCTTAATCCATTTACTTGAGTTGCCATCGCTCCTGCATACTGTTGGCGTGATTGAGAAGACGCCATCATAGAATAGATACTTGAGGTATAGACAGAATAATTGATTTATAAACTAGGTTGTGATTGCTGTTCCTAATTTGTATGATTCTGAACCTGATTCAAGATAATTTTCTTTCTTTTTGGAGCAGTTGGCAAAGATTGGTACCGATTTCTTTCTTTATACTTAATTTTTTATTTTGGTGAGGTTATCGAGCCCTCAACTTTTGAAATTATTCAGTTGTATGAAACGAGATTTTTTCTCAAAGCTTTAACCTCTAGTGAATTTCGTCTGTGTAAGGCCAAGTTATCCAGAGAGAGTATATTCGCGGTCGGCACTAGAATCGGATCTAGGATTCCTATTTATGGGATATATGCCGCAAATACCGATTTAAGTGATAGTGATAAAGGGAGCTATATGAAACTAACGATCTTGTTGAAGACTTTCAAAATGAAAATTGGTAGAGATTGTGATATTAAACTTTATTTCGACAAAGGATTGGGTTGAACAGAAGTTGTTGAAGTCTGAAGAATTGCAAAGTGAGCCCAATGTGGATGGCAATCTGTATGATAGACTTGCAATATGCAAGAAACCTTGGATAGTAAAATAAGCCTACTTTGAAAAATGATTTTGTATTGATTAGGATAAAATAAGCCCGTTCTTTTGTTGTAGTAATCCCCTTTGTCTTGATGACGTCTGGGCTCTTGATGTCCCTATAAGTCAGGCCAATTACGTTCGATGATAATATTAGTTTTAAGGTATCTGTCGAAGTGAAGATGGTGTGTAGGTCCGTATGAAGATCAGAGGGAACGAATTTGATAGTAAGGTTCCAACGGACGGACACTGATATCAATACCAAACTCAGGATTTGAATGAATAAACACACCAGGAGACTTTAGGTGCATGATAGATAACTCAACGTATTAAGGGCTGGGGTTTGTTATGTAGGAAGTCGGTCTAGAGAGAAAGTGACCCTTGATAGGACTTGAGAACAGGACTATTGTCCGGCCTTCATTCCCACACCCAGCGGCAAGGGGGGGAGGGGGGAGGGGCAAATGGGTGGGCCAGATCGGGCACTACTTTAGTTAGGGTGGATAAGTTGGAGGGCCGGGTGGGAAAACAAGGTAGCAGGGTAATGAGGCAGGGTGATGAGGCGGACAGGGCAGAAGAGTGAGATAGCCACACCTTAAAAACCGGGCAGTCAAGCGGTAGAGAACAAGGGGCATGTCATATTGCCTCCCATTTTTGGCGTAACGGGCAGCGAGATGTACGAGCTGTGACATGTCGTTGTTACAGTCTGCGTCTGGTCCAAGACGTATACTCGGCATGGATAGATAGAGCAAAGGCTCGATCAGTTGGCCAGAGAGGAACAGTATGATAATAGTCGGGTCATGGTCATACTCGAAAATTAGCTACTGTTGCTTGTTCCAGCCTGTCCTAGTGATCTCGGCAGCGTCACCGTCTTGGTCAGCTGAACGTCCGGCAGGGCGGCAAGGATTGTCTTAATGAATAATGATAAGGAAATAGGGTAAACACTTTTACGCCTAATATTTTTATTACATTAAAAATTGACAGAGTAAAGAAGGAAATTAATATCCGAGAGGAGACAGGATTGAAGGAGACGAAAACGACAAAGAGTGCCGGGAAAGGGGTCAATTGAATGATCCTCGTACTCCAAATGAACCGGAGTCTGGAAGGCCCTAGAGTTATAGGGCAAGGACGAAAACTACATTCATGCCCCAGAGGCGGGGACGGCAAAATTCTGGATCCGAGACGAATGCTTAAGAATGCATGGGAGGGGGAGAGGGGAACGATGATGGTGGTAAAGAAAGTGCGATATTGAGGAAGATCGGCCACAGGGTCCTTGATCTTAGCGTATAGAAGGGGGGCCAGGAGGCGGAAGGATTTAGACGCGGTGCAAATCAATATGGATTGTAAGTTTGGAGGAGCGGATGTGCGAAGAAATGATAGAACTGTGTGTCTTGGACATCTTAAGCGGAAGCGAGAGAACATAGACGTGATGAGTAGACAAATTCAGTACCAGATAACAGAAAAATGAAGAATAATGGACATCTGTTGCCAAATTTCTGAAGCACCTATTCCGGAGTCGATAACTTGGCAAAGGAGCTTCGGAGGGTCAATTGAGGTGCATTTGATGCATCTTCTGATGCAATTAGTGCAGGTGCAGCGCTGTACATGACCCTCAAAATAAACTGCGTCCGCTACCTCAAACCCCCTGCACTTGTATCCTGAATTGCTGATTCTCAACCTCACTATCTATTTTGTTAGTACAAGAAGGTAGAATCGGGTCACCTTATTAGATACTCGCTTTAGCAGCAACTAATACAATTTCCGATCCTCACTGGCGACATTGATGTGTTGATTCTAAGAACGATAACAGCTGAAGTAAAGATTTCAGCTTTGAAATTTTTTTCTAGTTTTGAAGTTAAATCATAACGAGTCTTTGACATAGCATCGGTCATAAATATCCAACCAGGGGCAAACTATTTCGTTGGTATTCATTCGTTCCCTTCATATTTACAGGTTCTGCTATATCGCAACGATCGCTGTAACGTATTGCACTCTTTCAAAGTGGAGGACTAATAAAGTTTGGCGAGCAAATGGTGAGATTCCAATTGAAAATCTAGATTAAGCCCCTTTGCATCTCATATTCTAGCTATTTCCATCGTTAACTTCGTCATCAACATTATAATTATCTTGCCACGGAATATTATTTTCTAACAAGTTCCGCCTAAAGTAAGATCGCCAGTAAACGGATTGATTGATCTTCAAATTCCTACAGCAGCGCTGATTTAGACCTGCGGGTGTCATATGACTTCAATGGCTGACACTAACTGGCTCTTTTTTTTCCAGCTGCTATCAATTACCATGACCGTGCGTGATCAAGCTCGCTGGGCATGTAGTTTCAACCGATAGGTCTATACAAGGTTCCGACATATGATAGTAGACGTACTCGACGCGTGAAGCTCAATAGCGACATGTCTTTCGGATCTGTATTGGATCAACCATACCGAAGTTATTATTCCGGCCAGTTTCCCCACTGACCCACATCGAGATTCCTGATCGACAAAGCACCTAAGCTGCCTTGAAATATCAAATCCCTCTTCTTCAACATTTGCAAATGCACGAGCTAGCTCGACGCACTGTACGCCTTTTTCAGCTTAAGACACTCAAGTGCGTCGTTATGGTTTTTTCATCGAAGTATCGCTCCTGTCTCTACTGCCGCCTTCTCTGAAGGCAAAATTTATTTTCAGTGGTGGTGGTGGTGGTGGTGGCGGAGGCGAAAGGTGATGCGTACCCCTTGATGGATGTGCACACTTGCCTGAGGTGGGAAACGAATATGCAGACGGATCAATTCTGTAAAACTGGTGGCAGCGCTAGCAGGAAAGCCCGGGCGAATTTTTGCTCTGTACCGAGCCTACGCGCTAATTGGACGAATCGAGTAGATTGATTGTCTGACGGTCTCGTCGACCCGGCAAACTGCGGCAGTTACATCCTACACTGATCCCGACCCACCATATGAAGCTCAAAAATATGCGATCCCTAAAAGTTCTAGAATAACCAGACGTTCTAGTACCTGACAGTTCCTCTGCCAGAAAAAAACAAAATCATCTTCGCACTCACCGACTAAGATCGACACGGAAGCGGCTTCTAAATCCTGATAATGCCAGACTTTTCTACTTCACAGCTTCGTAATCGATCCCATTAGCGGGGTGTGCAGAGTTTGGCTACAGAGTAGTTGGCTGAGTCATTTGGTTCAAGGAAGAACTGCTATTATGATTACCAACGTATTAAATTGGCACGTGACTACACAATAGTTATGCCACGGATTCTTCTCAATACCGACATACTCCCTTAATTTTCCGAATTCATGTTGAGGAATGAAAAAAACTCTATAACCTTCATGCACCATCCGTTTCGCGACGGGTCTCATGCTCGAAGCCAGCCACTCATTGACATACTTACAATCTACAAGCTAAGCTCATTGAATGACGGGGAAACGAAGGTATTGATCGTCGGTCAGGGTAGTTTACTAACTTCCCCCACGATGAGGTCCTGACCATGACTCCCGGCTCACTTTGACAGGCGGTATGGGTGATTCACAAGGATATGGGCACGGACTTTATTTCGAAGCCGCATCGAAAATTCGATGCTTGGTATTGGAAAGAAATGGATGAGAACTGTTTTCCCGCTCCCAAGTGAATAGCGGGGCCGGGAGGAAGTGAAGCTAGGGCCATTAATCTAGCTACGGTATTAACAGTAGAGAGCAACATTGTGTCGGGTTATCGAGGCGTTGCTAATTCTTGCCGGATGGGAGGCTGGTTCTTAGTTCCCCGCCTCACCACTTTCGGTCTCACGATTATGGTAACTAGACGCAGTTCATAAGGGTGAAAAGGGGCAGATCAAATGCTAGCAGCTTATGAAGACTGCTGTCAACAATCAAGTTCTCACCATATTTCCCAGGAGTTCTCATCCTACATTTCAGGAGATGACTTCTCGCCCGCAGCCATGTATTTACCAGAGTCAACAATCGATTGGAACACAAAGTTTGAATCGGAACGGGCTGGGTGCAGGATAAGCGCGCTGCAGGTAAGAGGAACGTCGAATAAGCGAGGTCTATTCAACATGAGGAGCTAAGCGATGTAGTAACTCAATCTGTCCTTACACGGCGCCTGAGGGCATTTGACATGTCGACTTTACATGGGGTAGGCCTCCCTTCCGCAAGTGGATCTAGATTTGGGGAATTTCCACTATTCCAGGCCTACCTTGTACGTCAACACCATTATTCAGTCGGCCTGGGCGAGCGGGCCGAGTTCGCCTTTCAGAATACTGGGCATCGGAAGGAATTGACACTTGTTGAGCAGTAACTGGACACAAACACAGAAAGTTGGTCCGCTCTTGGCGATGATAAACTATTGCTGTCTAACCTAGCAGCAGCAGCAGCACAAGAACCTCTCTTCTCTCTATTACCGAGGCTTTCATGTATCGTAAGCAGAGCCTAGCTAGCATA